ATGTTATTAAAGGTGTTTCTTCCCTTCAAAAGGAAATGTGCTTTCTTAAAAAACAAGACTCATTAATTTGTCATGAAATTATAAATGGTAGTTTTGGTTACTTTTCAATTGGTGAACTGGCTTCTAAGATTTTCCATAGCCTGATCCAACGTTGCAGAAGGGAGGCAAATAAGTTATTCTATAAAATTCATTTTGTAATCTTGGTTCAACAAAGCTGGTCTACCAGCTTTTTTTTAGGATTAACTGATCCAAATTTATCCAAAGACTCTTCTGGTGTATAGATCAAATCCTTATCTTTTTTTAACCAGTCGTACTCAGTCGTCATTGTTTAAATTTACACTTCTTGATATATGCATAACGTAACCTTGAGAGTCAATCCATTGTAAAAACATTTGCTGCAAATCCTGCCGATATTTTTTTTTCGTTAGATACGAAACCTTTTTGGGGAAACCTGGAACAAAAACATTTATAGGTATATCTCACCGGCCACCAGCCTCCTTTTAAACATATCACTAATCTGTATCCGAATATTATTGCCGCTGGCTGTCCGGCTTAATCTTAGTACGCTTTTGCTAACTTTTGTTTGTTTCTATTCCTAATACAAGTCCTTGTGGGTTTCTGTTGAGGATATTCTATATATAACAACTTAATAATTCTCATATCTTATTAAGGGAAGATAAAAATATAAAATTAGGGTTTAAAAAGACATATCCAGCCTTGTTCTCAATCTACCATTGAGGTCTGAACACAGGGCACAATCTGATGGCGAGTAACTATGTTTTCTGCAAAAAGTAACAAAATCTAATGGTCCTGGACAACAGAATATTAATTTGTGCTGAGCAAAAATATTGCTCTTGTCATTTCTTGTGTTCTTACTTTGGATCCCTCCAATTAATATTTATATAGTAAGCATGGAAGGGAAAAATTTAAAGACATATCGATTATTTTTTATTGTCAGTTTATTACATCGTGATCCAGTAAGGGGCTTAATATTTTCTCTGGAACTATCAAGTTATTCATAAAAATATTCAAACGTTTTTCTAATAGACCATCATACGTGTTTTAATTAATTTATTTTTGCCGTTCGTAATAAAGTGAGCCCCAAGTTTTAACACTATCACTTTTGGTTTTACTTCAAATTTTCTCTTAATGTAAAACATTGCCGAAACATTGATTGAACCCAAATTAACGTACAATATAATGTTGAATAAATCTTCTCTGTTAGTATTCGCCTAATCTTAATAGCTGATCTGTATCAATCAACAGCTGACGATTAGCTGGTCTGACTATGTTTCATATATTCTGCATAGCGTCTATAACATACGCCTTTTGTATATGTTCTTTAAATTTCAATTTTAATCATCGAAAGCTTGATCCAAAAACGTTATTGTTTAATGATTCACTTTAAATTTAAAAACCAAACCCCCAAATCCAGATGGTTACTGTAAGTCAGTTCTCGTACAATTGTGAGAAACATGTTTTCGGAGAAAAGACTCCTCCACCGCAAAGAAAGTTTTTTATTTAAATATTTTTTTTAATTTAAGCCATCAGGGCTTTTCCTCCTCTAAAGATTAAAAAGAAATAGCGTGAGTAAAACGATTTTCGAAAAGTCTTGAATATTAATACTTACCCTCCTCAAGGATGGTGTCCAGGGAACCCTTGAACTCTCGTCTGACCCTTGCACGGTTAAAACGGTCACCATTTTTTTGGCGAGTTACACCAGTGCGGGAGACGAGAGCATCAGGGCTTACCCCAGAACATCCTTTGGTAGTAGGGAGAGATGGAGGAGAAGGAGGAACTGGCTTGCGGTTGGCCTTCACCGTCGCGGAATCACCAGACAGACGAAGCAACCGTTGGCATTTGCCTTCGGGCTCAACGTCCGACGGACAAAAGGACACACAAGAAAGCTTTCTTTTTTGTGACGATCTTTCAACCGCAAAAGAAGAACCAGAAGAAAAAGAAGAGCCCACCGAACACCAGGAACCAAACACCGCAAAGTCACAGTCCATCTTGTCTTCAAACAAGAATTCCCTCGGATGGTTTGGATCCATCAACGAAGGAAAACACGAGGAGAAGAAGAGCACACAGAACCAACAGCAGTCTCACTAGCAGCAGGGTATTGCCAAGAGCAGAAGGAGGTGAATAAACCTCAAAGAGAGGAGATTCCGGAACAGAGGACGGGACGGAACAAGAGGAAGAAGCATCTGAAACACCTCCAGCAAGAAAAGGGTCAACAGCAGAACCCGAACAAACAGCATCAATATCCATGTTATCCGGACAATGATCCGCGGTGGTTAAACCGGGACAGGAATATGTCCAGGACTCAGGAGCGCACAAGGGCAAGGAAACAGCAGACATGTCACCCCCAACAGCAAAAGGGGACACACCAGCGGCAACACCAGAGAAAGAAGAAAACACGTCGGTGGGTCCAGGCGGACTACCCACAGGAGCGACGAACAAAGAAGAAGCAGCCTCCACAACGGGAAATTCCTCGCAAGGACCGGAGGGAGGAATCCACATTTGTTTGGGCAGTTGGGTTTCTGCCAAGAGCAAAGAAGCACGAACGGAAGCATTGTTTTCCAACAAAAAGTTGGTTATCAACTCGCAACCGATGGCCCAGGAGGGAACCGAAGAAGGCAGAGTTGGTTGACGAAATCCGCCGGAGTACGCAGCCGAAGAAATGGGACGAGGTCCCAACAAAGACAGACCGGAAGATGGAGATGATGGAGGTGGAGCCGAAGGTCCAAGAACGGCATAATGGTCACCCGCAGAAAGAGACGGAGAGACAACGGGAGAAGAAACGGCTGCAGTCGGTGGTGGTGTCGGGACAGAAAAGGTCGACCAAACCAAACACACAGCGTCTTTTTCTGTGCTGGTAGTGTTGACGTTGATGTTGATGTTGTTGCTATTGCTTGTTTGCTTTCCCTTTTCCTTTTCCTTTTCCTTTTCTCTTTTCAAGATGATGTAATCGATGATGTTGTCATCGTTACATATGGAGGTAGCATTACTACTGGTAGTTGGTACCATTGGGAAAAGAGAACGAAAAGCCGAAAAAACATTTTCCCGCATGAAAGAACTGACTGTTGCCCAAGAAAAGCAAAGAGCACAGGAAAGGAAAAAAGCGGCGTTCGACATTGCGAAGGTAAATCTATCAAATGTCAGAATTAGCTTTACGAGTCCTATTTACATCGCGCTACAATTAATACTTACTGGCTTATGAAATCCAATTCGCTCATCTTTGAAATTGGTGGAAAAGACAAAGAAACAGAATAAATACGAAAGTTCGTTCAAAAAAAATATGAAAAAAATTTTCAGGGTGTGACGTCAACAAAAACGAAATTGTTCGGAATAAGCCACCAATTTTAGAGACGAAAAAACTGAATCTGCCGAAAACTAAATCAACATATTAGCGTAAGCCACTTCTCGGAGCCATGAAGATGGACTGAATGTTAGAATTTGCCATGTCACCAATAATACTAGACAGCCATTAGGAATGCCTAAAAATCTATTAAAAGAACTACCCGCGTTATTTGGTCTTAATTTTTTAAGAAAAAAGTATATTTTATCCTCTAATTATATTCAATAGTAATTTTGCGAACAGCAGACCCTAGCAAAAATATGCTTATTTAGTTCTACTGTTAAGTGTCCGCGCGAACAATCATCTCTATAAAGATCCTTACATCAGATTCGAAATGTCAACCGCCAACAAACCGAAATCACAAAAGGTTACTCATTCGACAATTAAATAATGCATGTTCATAAGCGACTAGAGTTTGGCATATGACTTTTTCAATGTAACCTACATATTTAATCCAGGTAGGCGTATTTTCCGCTGGTATATTTCAAGCGATTATAAAAAGGCGTAGAGAATCTTTTCTCACTCATTATGTTTTGCATCTAGGGAAGAGCAAACCTTATTTGAAACCTGTTAATCAGTAATTAATGTTATGGACTTGAAGGTGGTGGTTTAAAATTTTGACTCAAAATGAAAATACAGGAAAAAAGTTCATAGCCATCCCATTAAATGACATTTCAACCTGTGATCCTTCAAAACATTCACGACGAGCTTTTTTACTCGTAAAGCGTGCCATCGAATACGTCAATGTTAGACTTCTTTTGTCAAAATATCCAAAGCAATTACGTTTTTTTTTTATTCTTTATTCCGTAGCCGACAATATGCTTGACAAGCGTTAGAAGTCACTCTACGAAGCGTTTTATACAACTCCAGTAATTCCCGGATGGCATGCGTTTTGTAGCATTTCGAACGAATCAAAGAAGCGGTGACACTCGACACACCTGCTCGATACATAGATCAGCACTCGTACATGTAGTCATCTGTTAGAGCAAATCAGTTATTAGGACTGGGAAGGAACGGGAAGAAAGAGGAATAAGTTCGGCGAAAGAGAACATCTTACTGCTTTTTTGCACCAATATGAAAGAAACATTTGTGGCATTTGTTGTTCATAAAAAAACGTAGATAAGAACCGAAATTTAAACACATGGTGACAACTGACAGTTTGCTATTTCGACGGTCGACCTTACTATTTCACTTGTTTAGCGACGACGATGCACTTCAAACTGCGAAGACGTCTCTTTTATTTATACTTATTTATTACAATCACTATATGCGTAACGTTTAGCATCGTAATGGAAAGGCCTACGTGATCTGTTAAGAGATACACAAACATCATTATGTCATTTCCAAAACTGCTGCAATGCATAGACTGATTGAGCTCTTTTTGGGAATTAGGAGCACTTATCATTAAATGGATTATTACATAAACGATTATCCCAAGTGCGAATAAATGTGCAGGACGATCATATAATTAACGAAAATTATTGGAATAAACCGGGATGGGGACAAACCTCAGAAACTGTTTTTCGATACGCGTATGTCAATATGATTAAATAAAAAGACATTTAACTATAAGAAGTGGATGGGGATTAAACTATGATGCAGAGAACCTGTCAGGAGCGGGGCGGGGCAAGAGCAGAACAGAATGATTATTAAGGTGAGGGGACAAGGCAAAGAGAAATTATATATCTATTAGTATTAATATATATATAAAAGGAATGTAGGTAGAAAAAGGTTTATTCAAAGAAACAGGAAAAATAGATAAGATCTTGAATACAGAAATAAGAATAAATAAACATGCTGTTATTTATATTAATTGACAGATCGGGTAAACAAGGGTTCGGGGATCAGATATACAGAGACAGATTATTAGTCATATTGAGTTTGGGACATCTTTGGGGTAGCGGGCATAGATACAGATAATTTCGGGGATAGATGCAGAGGATAACATGGGCTGATATTATTAATGTTTTACAAGGGAGTTCAAAGGCAGAGGTACAAAAGAAACGGGTGTTAAATGGGTTTTACAAGGACAAGGGAAAACGGAGATACATTATTTGGAACAGAGACGTTAGACAGGATACAATAGTGATGTTTGACAGTGACATGTGTGACAGGAGACAGAGAACAGGGAACAGGTGGAACAGGTGGAACAGGGACAATGGGCTAGTTGGGTTTCAATAATGATCTGAGACATTTTGCATGATAGTATGCAACTGAAACCTAAGCGGTTCATGACAGAACCATTTTTCTTCCAATTATTCAACATTCATTTATACCAATTGCTTTTCATGAGACAACTACTACGGATTGAAATTATAGAGTAACGGAGAAACTCACGGAATAGGTAACATGAGGGGATATTCGGCGGGAATGCGTATCTGTGGTTTAACTAATAATAACAGGCTAGATCTAGTTGACATTGTATACTATGATGGCTTGGGTGGTAATTTTTATAAACTTGCATTCTTTTAGTAATCACAGATTTGCCAGTAATTGTGAAACGCTGGTCTTTACGTTCACTTTGCCTTTAAACAAAAACCTTAAATGAGGACATAATGTACTATGTATATATTAACGAAACAAAGGAGTAGCTTATATTTAAAAATATTTTTTTCTAAAGAGAATTACGTCGATTGTATCGAGTACGGACCAGCATCATTAATGTGTTTTGTGTTCGGTATAATCTGGCATGTAGATATTCTAAAGTCTAATTAAACTTGCAATTTTATCATTGATATACTCGCATTGATGATCTACCCTTTAGGATCTTGCTATAGGTACCTCAATATAATTGAAGGATCGTATTCAAGATTTATGTTATTTGATGTAGAGTCTTACAAAGCTAATATAGTGACGATAACTTTACGAAATATTTCCTTTGTTGTATGCCGGTAGCCTTATTTTCTTCGGAAACTTGTAAGAATAAACATCCACATGGCTTCACTGTTTCAATAGACACATCCGGGCAGTCCATAGCATCAAGTAAAAAATCAACCAATATTCGCAGATAAGTATGAAGCGGCAGCGTACGTCATCACAGTACAATAATTCCTCAAACATCACAGCAAAATATGTATACCCAGACCATGCACAATAATAACATTCGTCGTAATTCGAAATCGCAAACAACATTATATCTAAAGTCTTAATAAAATAAAAGATGGTATCAACAAACAGCTACTGTATACGTGCACCATACTTTTTGCCGGCAAAAATAAATCTCGCGCACCATCTTTTTCTGTCCGGTCAAATAATAGAATTCCGGGTTGGACCAATAATAATGTTTGCACATAGAACTTTTTTCTTTCGCACCATGCTTTTTCGCTGGCGCACCGTTCTTTTTTTTCTGATCGCGCACCATAGTTTTTTTCGCTGGCCGACTATACTTTTTTTCGCTGGCGTACCATACTTTGTGATGAAAAGAATCAATATGGTTTTGAGTGTGAGATCAAGCTTTTAGTCTAAGTTTTAATTTTGTTGTTGGTTTTTGATTATTATGAGATAAAATATAAAGTTTGGGAGAATGTTAAGGATTGGGGAAGCAAATTATAAAATTATCCTGTCTAGTTGTTTTGAAAGTAATGAGACACGTCGTTGACACAGATGTCTCGGTGCCCGTCGAATACTTTATGGTGTGAAAAGTTCAATGTTGACCATTTTTTGGCCTTAAAAGCATTATTTGTGTTGTTGTCGATTTGAGGTAAAATTATGTGAAAGTGACTGTTGGCAAATAAACGTTGAATGGGAGTATTCATTGTTTCCAAATCCAGACAAAGAAGTAGTACAAAAGTGATTGAATCTTTGGTGTAAATGATGTTTCCATTATTATCTCTCCACGTGATTTCATACTTATCGACTTCAGTGTTGTTGCATGTAAAGTTACTGGTCTTTTAAATGTGTCAGCATCTATCTGTTGGCATCCGTAACAGTCACACCCAATACTCATCTCATCAAGACAGGGAGCTTTGGTTGGCTGCAACTTTTTCGACGTATATGCTTCGTTTAGTCCATATGTGTTGTAAAGAGTGTTAGCACACTTTGTAAAGGTAGCTAAAATTATTTTCGTTACTTGGATCCGAACGGTTTCATTCTCAAGGACAGCGAGGCTTACAGCACGATATCCGTAATTACCATCAGGATGGGGTTGAGGAACCCAAGTACATCATTGACCCATGCATCATTTAGCAATCCAAACAAACCACTGTAACCTGCTTCACGAGTTACGACTGTGGAAGGCTCGTATCTAGAAAAAAAATTGGTGTTATGGTTGTCAAATAATTACGAATATAACATAAACCAATACTTTGACTTGTTCTGCTTGATCACGGCTGTTCATGGCTTGCGAAGGCTTAAGGTCGTTTTGGTTTTTTTTTTTGCTTTTCTACTTTTATTGTTTCCTGCTTCATTTTTTTGGCATTTTTTTTGCTCTATCGAAATTTTGTTATCTTCATGCTCCACACTAAGCTTGTTTCTTTTTGTCCTTTTAGGTCGGACCTTTAGTATATCAACAATTGACGGGGCAAGAACAGTTTCCAGACGGTCTACCGAATATTTTTGGATCAACGCATTCATATCTTTGATTAGATCAACTGATTCTTGCTGACTACCTAAGACATTGCTTAATAATGAAAGCTTTTCCCACCTAAGTCGGTTAGCACGGGTATCAATAGGCAATGTTTCATGAGATTTTTTGCTCATCTCAGCGGTGATTTCAACTATTGTGGCGACTATGAAAAGTATTCATTTTGATTTCAGTCTAATTCAGTTTGTATATTAATTTTTTACCAGTTCCCTTCACATATGTAATCCTCCATCGTTCGTGGACAATGTTCAGAGGAATTTTATTCTCAACAAAAGAGACGGCAAGAACATGTCTGCAAGGAAGTCGAAAGTTTTTTCTGAGCTTGCAGATGTGGTGACCTAGCAAGGCTATAGCCATATTAGAGCTAAAAAAGGTTTATCCATGCTGATACCATTTGTGATATAAGCTTAACAATAAATGTCATAGTAAGAACTATAAGGATATTACATCACAAGTCTAATTTAGTACGTCCGAGAAATACTTAAAATTTAGTTTAAAGCAAAGAGAGTTAAGAAGACTTAACATTTATTAAAAGAAGACTAAATTAGTGACTATGTAATAATCATATACATTTTTGGTTAATAATTGATGACTTCAAGATAGCACTAGAGATATGTACACAGCAGACAGCCTTTTATATAAATACTTGTATATTTCATTTATAAATAAAGGACAGTCTTATAAACAGTCTCAAACTACTTCTATAGTCTTTTTATAATTTAAACCTTACCTTGAAACACAACAGCAGAGACCGCTTTCTCCAGGGCGCACATGGCTTACATGTTCAGGCTTTTCTTTAGCAGCCTTCATTTCCATCAATTCATTCTTGATGTTTTCAAAAGCAAAACTTGAAACATTTAATTTGATGAGAGCAATTTTATCTATTACATCAACTTCCAAAAAAAATTGTCCTTTGTGTCATAAATTCCTTGATTGATTGTACATTTCGATAATTCTTCAAATTTTTTTTCGAGTTAAGAAAATAAAAATATGTTTAAACATTACGTACTCTCTTTTTAATCCAAAGATCTATTTTTTCAGTGACAACTGCTATGCTACCAGATGAGGTGCTGTTGCTTCTTTTGATATTTGCATGAGTAAACTCAACTCTGTTCGAAGTTCTGTTTCCCATATGCATCAAATTGTTAACATAATAACCTACCCATTATTACTTCTTTTTCATTGTACTATATTTGTATCTAGTTAATAAAAAGAGGGAAAGAGGGATTTTTAAGAGAAAAAAACGAAAAAAAAAACCTACTGATGCAGATACTTAATCATCGTTTGGGCACCACCTTGTACACATTTGCTCTTGGCAGATACGAACGTTTCGTATTCATTTTTGGCAAGTAAAAGCTCATTCTTTGTCGTGCATTTTAAAGCCATTTGCTTGATGATATCCATGAACGATTAGACCTCCATCTCCATTTTGTTCTCTACAAGATGTTTATTTGGCAAGTTCATGAGGACTAATGAACGTAACTTGTTTTAACATACTATACAGTCTCTTTTCCTTCGCAAGAGTCTTCTTCAATCTCAAAATAAAGTTTTTTTGGATATGAATCCAATAAAGAATTTGCTTACTCTCGGGAAACTCGGACTTGATTGCTCCCAACAAGGCTTCATGGTTGTCAGTAACATAGCACATCGGCAATTTATTTGTGCTTGTTCCAGTAGGACAAACAAAAGCACGGAAACAGTTTGAAGTCCAGCGGTAGCGCTCGCTTGTCTCCCGATCCATCTAACATCCTCCAATGGAAACTGTTGTCAACTGCTTTGGCTTTTCTTTTGATCTCAAAGTACCAGCGACGACGAAATTCAACAAGACCATCTTGTGTGAGTTGGTCTTGTAGGTGGCATTCACAATCATACATTTTGAAAGCTTTCTAGCTTCGTCGATACCATGTTGGTGAATGAAAAAGACGCTGCAAATTCTCTCATCAGCATCTGTGTTAAACGAATTTGGTGGCCACTTGATTCAAGATTCTTGTCGAAATTCTACATGTCAGTGTGGCTGTCCGGACATAATTGTTGTTGGATGTTTATTAAATCGGTTACAATCAGGTTGCTTACGCCTCTTGTTTTAATCATCTAATTACCAGGAAATTCATGTTATTTTAAGATATAAATTCGGGACATATTTAGACTTATAAAGAATAATATTGGCAAAATAACTTTTATTATGATTACAACTCTCCTAACTATTGAATTCTCAAAGGATCTCTTTATCTCATTTTTAAACATTACCTTAAACGTTTCACTGGGAGTTATACCTCCACGAATAAGCGAAATGGCGAACTCTTGATCATCTGCATTGGGCTTTTGGTTGCTGTGATAAGTACTTTTATCATCGATCAAAGAATGGTTGTGTTTGAAACAGTTGGATCGAACAGTCCAACGATCTCCAGATAATTTTACATCCTTACGAATGTAGATGAATGCTGAACAGCCTTTTGGGTCTTTTATTACTCTTTCCAACTCATCATCATCAACAGCATCCTTTTGATATGGTTTCCAAAAATCTCGTTAAATAATTATATCAACAAATATCGCAATTGTGTCAATCCTACCTTCTCCTTTTTTCGCAGCACGATATTTACCAAAATGCTTACAGATCATTTTGATGCAAGACTTCTCGCTTTTAAAAGTCTCAAAAGGACTATTGCTAGCCTTACTGAAGGACTGTATTTCGAGTCTTGCTGTTTCTTGTAAGCAAAGGTTTTTCCGACAGGAAACTCGGCTTCAAAAATAGCCTTTACATTGGCAACACGTTCGTTGACGGACACAGTCTCAGCAAAAGATGGAACATGTCGTGTTGCCTTGGCGCTGATGTCCTCCATCTCAGGTTAACTGAGATATTCCCAGTCGTATTCCTCCTGTGTCACTTTTTATATGTGTTAGACTTTTCATAAACTTGTCTATCAAAGGCATTATCGAAACTGTCCTTGATTTCTTCTACAGGATTGATAACGGATTAAAGACTATTGATGAGAAATTGGCTTTCACTCAAAGATTGTTGTCAATCGTTTGAATTCATTCTAAAAATAAAAGTTAAAAGAAAAAGAATGAAGAGACGTAAACAAGAATTGGGATAATAATTAGCCTTTGGAAAAACCTTGTGTCACCTTTTTTTTAAAAAAAAAAAAAAAAAAAATTATTTTCAACACTAATGCTATTTTTATCCTCCGGTTCTTTAGAGCATTCACAGCAGTAGCGCTTAAAAAACGATTAGCTGAAAGTCCCGTTAAATAAAATTTCAAATCCACCCAAGCAATTGTCAAAAAAAAATAAAAACTGACTTTAAAAGCTTAATTGTATGTGCCTGAAAAAAAACAAGTTAACTTTTTACTCATCTTAAAGACTTTTTAACATGGAGAATTACGCAACCCTCGCAATGGCAATTATCAAAAAGCGTAGAATAGACACCGCTGTTCAGTTAATCAAAATTGAAATGTGTTTAGACGAAATGAAGAGAAAGTCAAAGACAGGTGGCTCTGTCAAGGGACGTAGAGTCATTAATAGAGATAATGAGGCAGGCTATCAGCTTCTTATGAAGGATTACTTTGCCGAGAGACCAGTTTACGGTGGAAAGGAGTTTCGTCGTCGATTCCGAATGCGTAAAGACCTTTTTATGAGAATTGTGGAAGCTGTCACCGAGCATGATCCATACTTCCAAAGAAAGCCAAATGCTGCTGGAAAATTGGGTCTTTATCCTTTACAGAAAGCTACTGCTGCTCTCCGACAATTGTGTTACGGTTTTAGTGCTGATGCAGTAGATGAGTACTTGAGATTGGGCGAAAGTACTGCAATGGAGAGCCTCAAGAAATTCGGTGCTGCAGTCGTTGATGTTTTCGGTGAGGAATATCTGAGAAAGCCCAACGAGGAAGATACGGAAAGACTGTCGGGGCAGAACAAGAAACGTGCATTCCCCGGTATGCTGGGATCAGTTGATTGCATGCACGGGGCATGCAGAAACTGCCCAACAGCATATCATGGGCAGTATACAGGCAAAGACAAGAAGCCAACTATCATTCTTGATGCTGTGGCATCTTACGATTTGTGGATCTGGCATGCTAATTTTGGTTTGCCTGGCTCGCTCAATGATATCAATGTTCTCAACGGATCGGATATCTTTGATAGGTATACGGAAGGAAGCGGTCCCGATGTCAAGTTTAACATTGGTGACGAAGAGTACAATTTGAGGTATTATCTTGGTGATGGGATATACCCCAATTATGCGAACATTGTGAAGACGTATTCCGTACCTAGACCAGGTGCCGAAGCTGTAACTATTGTTTCTACTAGCAATATTAAGTATTTGGCTTTCTAATTGACTCTTTCTGTTAAATAGAACTTTGGCAAAGCACAAGACGCATGTCGAAAGGATGTGGAGAGAGCTTTTGGTAGGGAATCCATTATTTGCCTTTATCAGTAATCTTGCAAGACCAGGAAAAATGGTGATTTTGATACGATCATGAAAGCATGTATCATCATGCACAACATGGTTGTTGAGGATGAGCACAACGAAAGCAATATGATTTCGTATAGATACTACAAAACGCATTCTGCTTATCCTGCTGAGGCTGCTGACATTTCTCGTGATCGTTCACATTATAGCTTAAGTAACATTTTGAAGCATTATGGTCATATTATAGACTCATTTGACCACTTCAGATTGATAGCTGCCCTGGTTTCCCATCATTGTCACATAAACGTATTGGGAAACCACTCAAACCGAAATGCAAAATCACATTAAAATTAAATAAAATCGATTAAAAATGAAAAACAAAAGATATATTGTTCTCTGGCAAGTCTTGCCTTTCCTGATTGTTCCCAAAATTGCTCTAAGGCCTCCTCACAATTAAGCTTATAATAAAATCATGCGGTCTTGTCAACCTGAAAATCATTCAAGGTAATTTCGAACAAGGCGTCATCTCTTTCTCGTTCACGTAGCTCGCGATCTTCTTCTACTTGACGAAGTTGGATCTCTCGAGAATAGTTCATTTTGTCAAAAAATCTCCCTAAAGTCCTTATCTCCATCGGATTGGATCTTGTCTAATTCATCCAAAAGTCGTTGGTACTTCCGGTCCAAATTGGCACCCTTCTTGATATTTTTAGGGAAAACTGATCAAAATGTAAAAAGGATCAATTATTTTATCGCAGCAGAGTTATTTCAGTCTATTTTTATCTTCAATAAAGATATACCTTTATCTCAATATATCTCAAGTGTATTATTTTTGTCAAATATCACAGATGGCTCATTGTTAGATATCCTTCGTTTTTTTAATTAAAACTAGTGTATTTTTATCTTCAAATATCAGTCTTTTAGAAAGAGCACGAAATCGGTTATAATGCATATATTTTAGTGTTTCTTCTTGAATACAAATTTTACGTTCCTCCTAGCTATAGACGTAGTCTTATTTTTATAGCGACACAAGTGTAGCCTAATTGGTCGACTCAAATTAATAAAAATAAGCCACATCGAATGTGAAATATACAGTACGGGTCGGGGGTAACTCTGTTTGTCTAAATTGTCTTATTTCCTCCAATATACAGTATATCGTAAAGAATGACCTTCAATGCGTTTAATTTATAATCTTCTAGCGGTACTTTCATGTCACCTTTAGTGAAGAATTACGACAGTGGTACAAGAAGAGAAAAAGATAACTTATTTTGGGTAAAGTCTCAACTTATGACAGTCAAGAATCTTGCGCATCCCCTTCTGTCTACGAGAACAGTAAGACAGTGGCCTCGTCTGTTTATTGACATTCTATTCGGGCTGGTTAATGATGTATTCTCTGCATTGAAGAAAGTGGAGGCCGAACCTCTGCTACTACTGACACCATCAAACTCCCATTCATACTAAGTCTTGGTGGTCCTTTCTTCAGCAAAAAATATTTAAAGTGAATTTTTTTATCTTATTATTTTACTTTATCCTTTTACCCAAAACCAAAACGCAATTGTCGTTTTATCAAATACTTGACAACATTTATTTTGCTGGTATTAATAAAATATACTAAAAAACACAGTTCATATATGAAAAATAAAAAATAATTTTTCCTCGCAATGGACGCAAGCCAAATTCCCGCATTAGCGCTTGTAGCTGTTTTGCATACTTCGATTTTGCAAACTTTCAGCCAAGTTTGCGTCTTCATGAACACGTAACATCGTCAGGTCGAATTCTTCTCTTGACATTTGGTTAAACCCATTTATGGTGTACATCGAGGCGAAGGCGATTGCACCCTGTTTAAAGTGCTGTAAAAGAGTATTGGGTTTTTTGCCCATATTTTTCCAGGAATCTATTTCCCCCATCTTATGACCAGCTTCAATTGTGGAAGTTAATTCCTGCCGATAGTGTATTTTTTAGGAATCCAAGTCTTCATTAGGTCCAAATGCGTACCGTTCTTCTTCATCTCTTCCGCCACGCAGTAAAAGCCGTGGTAAGAGGCTAGCTGCATGCCACGGCCAAGAACATCCATACAATGTCCGTTTTGACAGTATACTTTCAGTCCTTGGCAGAACTTCAGCAACTGGTCCTGCGTTGCCTCTTTTGTTGGTTTAAAAGTTGGATAGATCATTGCTGCGATTGCAGGGGCAGCTTTCAGAAGTTGGACGTTATGTCCCATATCCTCCAACTTCTTCTCCTCTTCGATGAACTCTCTCTTCAGCTCCGGGGGGGGGGACTTCTCCTCATCCGAGTTCCGAAGATATTCATCTTCTTTCGAATCATCCTTATCATCTTCAGAACTGGGATCTTCCCTGCCAGCCCTCTTGGGAGAACGATTTTTTCAGGTCTTCCATCTACATAAATGATCGTTAATGTATGTGAAGAGAATGGCTTCTGGAGTAACACGCACCGGATCGGACATCGTTAAAGATCCTTACGTTTTTGAAGGAATTCTTAATCATATTCAAGTAGTTTATAACTTTTAAATGACAGGTAATATAATACTTACGGGTTCTCATAACTGCTTCTGTCAGGAGCGGGGCGGGGCAAGAGCAGAACAGAATAATTATTAAGGTGAGAACAAGACAAAGAGAAATTATATATCTATTAGTATTAATATATATATAAAAAGGTTTATTCAAAGAAGCAGGAAAAGTAGGTAAGATCTTGAATAAATAAACATGCTGTTATTTACATTAATTGACAGATCGGGTAACCAAGGGTTCGCGGATCAGATTATTAGTCATATTGAGTTTGGGACACCTTTGGGGTAGCGGGGATAGATGCAGAGGATAACATGGGCTGATATTATTAATGTTTTACAAGGGAGTTCAAAGGAAACGAATGTTAAATGGGTTTTACAAGGACAAGGGATAACGGAGATACATTATTTGGAACAGAGACGTTAGACAGGAGACAGAGAACAGGGACAATGGGCTAGTTGGGTTTCAATAATGGTCTGAGACATTTTGCATGTTAATATGCAACTGAAACCTAAGCCGTTCGTGACACTCATACGTAATTATTACATGTTGACGGTGTTACTGGCAAGTTTCAGTAAAAGTAATAGAAGAAACTAAAAATAGAGATTAAGAAAAAAGTTCTTAAAAAGTGGGCACCAGACTATATAGTTGTCAACTGAAAAAGATCAAATATATTTATATACGAGGGTAATTTATACGACGAAATCTGATTAGAGTGGTATTCGAAGGAGTATAGTTAAATACGTAATGGAATAACTACAATACTGATTTTACAGAAGGAAATGACAAGCAATTATAATAAATACAAAATCACAAAGACTTATTCAGATTAAAGTAAAGAACAAACTAATTATTTTATTATGAATTTTTGGTAACCTTTTATAGAAAAAGGTTCAAAAAGCAGTCAAAAAAATGAAAAATCTTAAGCCAAAACGACAAAAAAGTGAAGTGTAACAAAGGCCGCCCATATGGAATGCCAACGTCCTACCGGTGTTTTCATAAATTTTAACAATCGTGTCAAAAGTAGTCCTTGAAATTCTCAAATGATATACCATCTCTGTAGCTATTTTGACACCACGATTGTCATCCCAATACTTTAAAATTTCTTTTCTAAAGTTATTACTGATTGACTGATATTCTGTCCTTCTTTTTCTGTCACCTTGATTGGATTGGTTCTGTTGCAAGATATTTACTTCGTCAGACATTTAATATATTAAGAGGAAAAAATGTAAATGGATGAAATAAAGAAAATTTGGCAATCGGTTACAAGCCTACATATTTATATATTGTATTTTAAGAGTCATCAAATTCTCGAAAGTTCATGACGAAATTGATTTCCAGAAGAGACGAAATTGAACCCACGCTTGCGACGAATTCTTTTGCCGGCGGAGACGAAAAAAATACTTTTGACGGAATTGGACTATAAATACTGTAACGGTTTAAATACAGAAACTGTTCCGAATAAGGAGAGCCAATCAAAAAATTCTCTTGCTTATAGGCCTGGGCTGTGGAAAATTTACCCGAAATAGTAATGCTTCCTTTTTTGGATAAAATGACAAATTTACTAGGATCCCATACTGGAGCAGTGTAGAATTGGAAAATTTTTGTTGAAAATGGCATTTGAATGTGAATAAAGAGTAAATAGTCAGACATTGAAAGCCGTAAATGTCTATTTCAAACTACTGGTTAGACTATGTAATACTTTTATTAGTAAAACTTTTTGTTGTTGTTGTGCCTTTGTCACCTAAACATTTTTTAATAGAGCTTTTTCTACGAAAGGCATATATTTTTTTTATTTGATTTTTATGGTCGATAAAGAATAAAGAATGACTACTAGGATAAAAATATTTATATAACAAAGAAATTCATTGAAGAACTTGTATGCAACAGTGTACATCATAAGAGAAAAAAGGAACAAATGTTATTCGGAATTGGTAGGTTCGTAGCTGACCCATCTGGCTTTTTTCGCTCTTTCTTTTTGCTTTGGCGAGGTTGCGGTTTTCTGGTTAGCATTTGTTGATGCTATGGCAGGCTGAATTGTAACAGGGTGTTGTGAGTTGGGGATAGCAGGAAGGGATTGCATTGGAATAGTAGGAAAAGATTGCATTGGAATAGTAGGAAAAGATTGCATTTGAAGAGCAGGGAAATTTTGTGGCTGTGTCAAATTATTGTTGGCATTTGAGTTTGTGAAAGCGTTGTTGGTGGCCATCATTAGCTGCATCTGTGAATTCAGGCACTGTCGTTGCATCATACGAATCCTTAAATCTTTTGTCAGTTGTTGGTTCATGTTCATCAAAGGAACGTTTTGCTGATTATTTTGATTAACGTAATTATTAAAAGAAATTTCGAATTTTTCGAATCTGTTGTCTTGTTGATGTTGGAGATGTGAAATTTGTCGGGCAGCTTCTGCAACTCGTCTGGCCACCTCTTTGTCTGTGTCGAGTATATTTGGAGCAAGACCTTCGTGCTCTTCCAGCCTATCAATAGAAGGACTGTTGATAGCTGCTATTACATCTTGTTCAAACATCTTGAACTGATAGTTTGAGAACAAACGTTTATCATTACTGACATGTTTGTTTTCTTTATTCATATACAGATATATAGCTGCGTCTTGTAAGATGATTCTACGACATCTGATTAACAGTCTTAAGAACCCCCTCTTTGCCGTTTCTATGCTGTTCTGAGTTTTTTTTTGTTTCCCATTTGAATTTTCTCTTTTAACAACATCCTTCCATCTTCTTCTACAAATTCAACAGGATCGGCTTGGCTTCTTATTTCCATGTTGATTACATTGTCATCCTCGTCTTCCTTTTCATCAATTTCTTTCATCTTATTATCACACGCAGCCTCCCATTCAACGCTACCAACACCAAAGTAACTTTCAATCCGAGGAAAGATTGTTCTTTGAAGCTCCAAAGACGGAGAAACAGTATTTCTTGCTAAAGAGAATGGGCTTTTCCCAAAAACCAGCCATACCTCGGGCAAAAGGAGAAGGACGTTTACCAAGATAGTGGGTTTTTAACCGACCAAGACGATCTTTCCATCTTCCAACACGCTTGATCAGGTCAAATGGAATTCCTAATCCTTCTGCTTCCATTGAACCAGCATGACGGCTACAGTGAGTTACTCGAGTGGTAAAAATTTCTTCGTCTGCGAGTGCTTTCTTTGCTGTTTTCCATTGAGAACCACCAGACAAGCTTTTCTCGGGACTAATACGCCCACGCAATACCTTCCAGTTATGCCATCTGTCTTCATTCAAGAAATCGCCACTAACCTATTTCTTTATACATTTTTATAAATTAGCATTGGATCTAAAATGTGGTATATTGTTACACTACCATTTTCTTCTTCTGTTGGTCCTTTTTGACCTCAGATGTCTTATTTTTTTTTTGACTGCTTTTTGGTCCTTTTCTTATTAAAGGACCATAAAATTATTTAATAAAATCTTTAGTTTGTTCTTTACTATAATCTGATTTAGTCTTATTCATATAAGCCTGGTTTCATCATAAATATATATAACTACTATAATTGTACGAAAGCCCTTCTTATAAATCAGCACTGAATAGTCTTAACAGTTGTATTTTACTATACTCCTTCGAAGACACAGATAACTGATTCGTCGTAGCATTTCCCTTTTATATCTTTATATTTTATTTTGTCTTAGTTAACAGCTTATAGTATGGTGCTCACTTTTTAAGAACTTTTATCTTACTCTTTTTCTTTATTTCACGGTACCCTTTGTACACTTAAACAAGCCAGTAACAATATGCATATTATTAAATAATGTTATTCTGTAAACATACCCGAAGTACACTAAACATGAAGAAAGCGAACGCACTGAAAGGGCATCTAAATACGTTTTCATGACGCATAGCACAAGCAAATTTAACCTCGCCTTCTTTTAGGGTCTTACCCTTGTCAAGACTAAAGACCAAAGCTAAAGCCTGCTGAATACCTTTGTGCTGTGTTTTGGGAATGATGGTACAAAAACAGTCAGCAAAGTTCAGATTTCTCAGATCTTGATCACGACGTAACATGTGGTGACGAGAAGATATAGAAAACATTTCACGTACACCAGAATTAGCACTTGAAATCCAAAGGCTTTTTAAAATTCTAATTAATTCGCCAGACTTGCAAGAATCACGAATAACACAATGTGATGCTCTATCCACATTTGTTTGAACTTGATCGTAAACAAGATCATGCTCGTACTTCTTGATTAATTCAATTATTTTCTTCGTTTTTTTAGGAGATGACCATTCGACTTCTCGGCGACTAGACTGAAATTCATGCAAAAACATCAGAACCTTTATGTACTGGTTGATAGATTCAATTCACAATGGTACTTCAATTACTTTTTTAGTACCATTTTTATTAGATGGTGCATTATTTGCCACTAAAAAAAAAAGAGAGAGATCAATGACTGCATACATCTAGAGTAATTTTAATAGCTTACTTTGTCGCAATGATGGTTGGTTGTCTACATTATCTTCAGTTCGTAAGCCAATCTGTGTTCTCACATCATTTTCAATCGAAACACTCTTGTTATAAGTACGCTTAAAAACAGACTCTTTGAAGAAAGCAACAACAAATTCGGTAGGCCCAACAGTATATCGATACATAGGATCAACGGGATATCTATGTCGGTTCTTTTCACAAACGTCCTTCGATTTGGAAAGGGTCAAAAACAATAAATTTAATTTACATAATGCATAAAAAAACCTTCTGTTACAACATACCTTCCAATTTTCTAAAGGCATCCCATAAATTGCTGCAGTACTTCCACGCACTTTCATCGGCAAGGCCTTAATTTCAAGTTCAAACTCACATGTGTATCCCAAGGGTCTACTTTGGGATAAAACGAGAGAGCTTGAAATGGGGAGAGCAGGATGATCATAAGTTGGTCCAGAACTCTCGGCAATTGGGGATTCAACGGACATAGTGATTTTTGGTGGACGACCTCTACGAGGTTTTTTAGGTGCAGGCTAAAAAATGTATATTTGATATTCAAATTAAGCATGAATTCTAGCTTTTTTTTTTGTACCTGAACTTCTCTTAAAGTTTCCTCGGCATGCTCGAATACAACTTCATATCCTTCTTCCTCGGGATTTCTAATAACACGGCGCTTAGGGTAGATGGGCTTAGAATACAAGGGATTCATAATAAATACTTTTATAACAGAAAAATGAAATGAGGGTGATTTAAGTTTTTGATTGTAAATCAAACTTTAATTGCCCAGTATTTATAACTGATCAGTTGATATTACTGGAAAGTTCCAGCAGGTTCGCTAGTAATTTCAACTCAATTTCAGTTTTATCAACTCGAACTTACCATATATAGTACTATTTTTACAGAAATGAAGACATTCTATTGGAGAACTTAATTTTTTATATCCAAAAAAATAAAAAAAAGTTACGATACTGTATCTAAAAGCAGATAAGACAGTTGTCGGGTCTGATATAGGTGTTAAGCTTAGTTATAGATATTTAAGTAGAGTAGTAAGAGAGTTATCGTTTTATTGAAAGATTGATCTGACATATTTATAACTATCTAAAAGCAGTCACGACATAGTTGTCGTGAGTGTAATACTCTAAATTCCGAATATCCAGTCAAGCCACTCTCACTCTCGTATCACTATCTACCTACTGCGTCGTCAAGACCGCAGCACTTCATACTTATCCTGAATTACACTAACACATATACTTATCCCATCCGCAGCAATTATCCTTAAACTATAAATACTCCAAACAATCATTATTAAATAAAGTATCTTATTTTTATTATCTTAACTTTCTATTTAAGTACCGAACGTCTGAATATTACAGTGAGTCCATAATGTCATCAATCCGCTAATCGGCGATTGTAACTTAATATACATAACCAACCGCAGCAGTCGTATCTACTACCTTACGAACCAATACAGTTGTAGTTACTCCGGATTGACAATTGTAAAACATATAAATAGCTTCAATTATCAATCAATAAACATGATCTTTATTCTCCTCTAAGAAGTTTTTCACATAAGTCAAGACAGATCTAACCCTTCTGACTCGGTATTTAAGCACCGTCCTCAAGCTTATTTTACAGTATCTGTCGGGCCGGTACCACTGTTTATCCAGAGGTGGAATTGATGGAACAAGTCGGCACGAAGATTTAGGCCAACAATACCCAAAAGGCTACAGCGAGTAAAGAAGGATGCTGCATGAGATCATCGGTGTCCAAATTGTATTTTTATATTTTAAGTTTCACAGAGTATCAATAAAGTGTCAGATATAATTTTAGACTAAGCTCTGCACAACTTCAATTTAGATATAACCATTGTTACAATGCGGATTTTCAACATGTAATAATTGACTTCAACACTAAAAACTTTACTCAGACAATTTATATTTTTCATGCTAACTTTTAGCATTGTACTTCTCTAACTTGAATCTTTACCTTTTTATATTTAAAACCTTTTGACAAATTTATTATTATTATCATTTATCCGAAATCAAGGGTATCGTTACCGATCCTTTGATTTCTCAAAAACTATATAAACCTTAAAACAAAACATATTTCAATAAACATTCAGATTTTACTATATACTCTTTATCATAACTTGCCTATCAAATATTATATCTTCTATATATAATTGGCCTATTATCTTACTGTCTCCCTAGAAAAACCGAAGCCTTAGTCTCTTTTTCTCTGTATCTGTCTATCAAGACCTTTTATTTTATTTTACTTAACTGGATCGTTACCATATATATTTATTAATATATTTATATAAAACAACGTGGTGCTCACTTAGAACTGAATAATTAACTACAAACGTGTAATATTCTCCTTCTACCTTACTGTCAAAACTAAATCTAAACCAATCACTACTACTCACATTGTATCACCATTTCACAACACTATAATTCAATAAAGATCATCTTCGATTTAATATACTTAACTTTACATAAGCACATCTATTAAAATCCTTCTGACAAAAGAGTATCTTTTCCTCGCATAAAATAAAAATCACATTGGCCACTCCTCAACGACTCGAATGACAGACATTAAGAGAATTGACATATCATCGTCTCACGTTTTTGATTAATTTTAGAAAAATTGATTTCTGCCAGACTTGAACTGGCGACCGTCTGCGTGTTAAGCAGACGTGATAACCGACTACACCAAGAAACCACCTTTCTTTGAAATGAATCTGATTGTCTTTATGTTTACCTTGTATAGAGTAATAAGAATAAACAAATGTATAGAATAACAAGAAGGAGACTGTAAGACTAATTGTTAAAGAATACAGACAAAAAGATATAGATTTGCACTAATAAGCTTTGAAATCTGCAAAGAAGTAAAGATAAATCACAAGTGTTTAAAAACAAGTAAAGTTTATCAGAAAGAAAGAATTCGATGACGTTTATTATTATAAATCAGACAATCTTATATAGACGTTTTGACAGCTGTCAACTATGGTACAAAAATAACTAATACGAAAATGGAATAAAATAATAACAGGGTACGGAAAAACTATGATGAGAACAATACAAAAATAGAGTAAATCAAATAAGGGTACGGGAAAACTATGATGGAAATAATATGAATAATAAGAAAAATAAAGAACTAAACAAAACAGGAAGGTAATAATAAAATAAGTGAGATACGAGAGAGAGCGACGAAATAACAATAAAAATAATTGTAACTGAGAAAGAAGAGAATTTCACGAGTAACCGACTAAGATAATTAACAACCTGCCAATTTTAGAAAAGCAGCAAAAGACGCGAACTGAACCTTCGGAGAAAGAATACCAGAAAAACTTCTAGAACACCAAAAATAG